TCACAATATCTTTAAAACTAGCCGCTATGCACTTCAGCATCGGAAAACAGAATCCTAATCGAAAGCGTTTAAAGCGAAAACTACTCAGAGAGTTTGAGCATCCTTAAATAGACTAAACACGATTAGCCTTTTCTTATTAATACTCAAGAAATATATTACTCAAACAAAAGTCATGTAAACTCATTCCCATGATGTGTAAGAATCTATGGACCAGATGTACATGGCTTCTGAGAGCCACTGTCCAAGCATTAGTACACGATTTTTTATTTATTTTTTTTTTTTTTTTACTACTGAGGGAGTGCAGATGTTACGCACTGAAATGATCGTAGAGTCCAGACGAGGTGACAATAGGAAAACAAAACCAAAAAAATTTTAAATACTAAACAGTAATTTTATATCGAACTGGTGTAAACCGGGAAAATATTTATTCAATGATTTGTAGTGTTAAGGTTGATCTTGTTTAGATAAAAATGAAAACAGTAATATTTTGGGCACACAAAAACTTTTCATTTTTTATCCTGACCAATGCCCATAAGTACCAACTTTTTTGAAATTCATGGTCGAGATGTGAACTACTTGTGTGTTAACTTCGTTTAAATTTTATTGTATAATAGTGAACCCTGTAATGCTTCGCTCTTGCAATGTATTACACTTCACACTTACGGTCACTTGATAGTTAATCACGTTTTACGTCAGGCTGTGCAAAAAGTTTAGTGGATGAAAGTCTTTGTCACGAGTATGAGTTTGTTGAAGGTTTATCCTTTTATCCTTGTCGGACAAACATTTAATGTATTTAATGTAACCTATTTAACGTATAAGTAAGTAAAGTTTAAATGTAAGTTTTTTTTTTCTTGTAAACTCAGAAACTCAAAATCATCCCGTGTGTTTCAATGCGTTATGCGTGGTACGGCCTAATATCACGCATGGTTCTACCACCACCCCCCGTTTTGAGAGCAGACAATGTGTCGAGTTCAACAATATGGAGTAGTCAGGCGTGAATCGTCCGAGTAGTGAAAATGTGGCCCACAACCAACGCTTTGCAAGTTGGTCACCCCTGTTATGGGTCAAGTTGGACAAGTTGTGAAGTATCCTCTTGTTAAAACGTTCTCCCTCAATTTTGGAAATGCATTCACTCTGTCACTGTCTTGGAGAAATTTGATTTTCTTGACCAAGATAACGTTCAAGTAATAATTCTGGCCGATATTTCACAATCGCAGGGGCAGAAACTGCAGCGAAGACGCGCTTAACACTTGAGGATGCCGCAGGTTACGTATAACTTCTGTTCAGGGGCGCTTGCGTCAGCATAAACACATAAAATCATCAACGCGCGTCTATGTGCCATGGAAATACGCATATTTCCATTGTACTAGACCAACATTCTTCTTGCAAGTGCTAGCTGACAAAGTTTTATTCAATCGGATGAACTATTCGGCAGCGCATAAAGTACAAACAAAGATACAAAAATTGATTTTTATATATTAGATTAAAGATAGAAAAAATTCTCAGAAGAACGAAATAGTCACTTTGGTTAGAGAAGAACATCTTAATGAAGATGATGTTGGTTGATTAATTATGATTAATTAATTGATAAATTAAAAATAATAGGTTAATAGGTGTCTCATTGAGCATCAGCCGCACTAATGTTTGAAAAATAAACTCGTACATTTTGATATTGCTCAGAACGGGAAAGAAGGCCACTCAGACATGTGAGTTAAAACTAAAGGAGTAAGAATATTTGTGGATATGCTCATCGCACAATACAATACAATTTTCTCTCTTCAAGAAATATATATTTTCTTGTGCGGATTCTCAATACATTTGGGTTTAAGCTGGACTTGCGACGTAAGTGTCCTCGTCACTGCGGTAAGTTCAGGTCGCGTCCTATTACTCGTACTTCGGTCTACGGAAGAGTTACAGAAGATAATCACGAAGTACTTTCCTTAGTAATTAATACTGAAATAGATGAAAATTGTGGTTTTCGTTTAATATGTCTGTCTCATAACGTAAATTGCTGTTAATAGTCACGCTGATAGTGTGAAATCGATCTGCATAGTTAATTTACTAATGGTTTTTCCGTGTACGATCGTACCGATACGTAAAGCTCATTTACATTGAAAGTGGGGCAATGCGTCACAGCTAGATTAAGATGCAATTACAGAATATCCCAACGAGCAGGTTTCGAACTTTTTCTAAACCCTTTGCTTCACAGTCTTTTGTCTATTGCCATTGTATAGGACACTTATATACCAGAATGATAACTGTATGTTTTGTATTTATAAGTTTATATTCCTGTGTATGCAATAACAAACGCGCTTCCTCATTAACATTGACATCGGAATTCCTGCAATGACGGTGCCAGCCCCGAGGCACGAACTGTCGGTATCAGGAAGTAGTAGCGGAGATTGCGCAAATAGATTACTTCCGTAATAATGTGTTGAAATAATTAAACAATCTGTGAATACTAAAAAAGGGGGAGAAAACATACGATAGAAATATATTAAAAAAATAATAATACTCGTGGTTCAAATATATTGGTATAAAATTGACCCAGTTATAAAGATTAATCTATCTGTTATATTAGTACACATATTCTTTTTAATTTCATTTCTTTCTCCTTCGGTCTTCTGCCCAATGATTTTCCATGTTTTATCCTTTGAAATAGCTTCTTCATCTTCAGTTGCCTTGGCTTCTCGTCCTCGTTCGTTGCTTGCCTCGTGTGGAGGGCTTCTCGAGACGTGCCTGCGCGTGGTGCGGCGCGGAGGCGGGGGCGGCCGGAGCCATAAACGAGAGAGCGCTTCGCTTCCCGGCGAACGCCTTCCTTCCCTCCTCCCCTCCCCCTCCTCGCTTCCTCCTCCCCCGCCCGCGAGCGCGTGGGAGTGCGCCGACCTGCCTCTGCGCTCCGCCTCCGCCCCCGCACCGCTTCTGCCAACGCCTCGCTCTGCACTGGCCTTTTTTCTCCCCCATGGAGGAGTGGATTTATTACATTATCAGTATAAGCGGTGCTTGGAGGCCTCAATAATACTTTATATGAAACTAGAGGTAACCCGTCGAAAATGACGGGATTGAAACAAACTCCCATATTAATTTTTATTGCAATGTGTAGTGGGACACAATTTAACTTCTTTAATACTACATTTATTTAAATAATTCCTTTTTATTTAAACATTTTCTTTATTATCAAAAATAAGTTCTCAAACTGTGGTCCTGTAGGGTATTGTGAAGCAATTTTAGGCCATTTTCGAAGGTGCCACCAGGGGAAATTTTAGGCTATTTGCATTTGTTGCTACGTCCCGCGCAGGAATTCAATTTAGGTCCTCTGATGCGTCTTATAGGCACATTGCCTTTTTGGAATCCAACAGCGTGTGTATCCAAGATTAGTAGGACCACTATGTTGTGAGACGTCTTCGCAATTCGTTATTGTGACGTGATTCTGTATGTATCCTTATGTAGTACACCTTTATTTTTATATCTGTATTACAGATCTCGCATATTTTAATTGTCAAACATTTTTTTTAATAATATTACCTTGTATGCGAATTGTATTTCATTTAAAGGGGTCGCAACGCAATCGAAGGAGATCCCCATGTAAGAATTAGATAATAATTGTGAATGCGTGCATGTGTGTTTGTTTTGTCCCGAGCCGCTTTACAAAATCAGTTTAAGAAAGCGTACTCGATGTTCCAGTAGTTTGCAAATTTAATTTCCATGTCTATCTAATCCCAAACTCACTAAAACTGCGAAACAGAGTTGCACGAAGCAAAAACTACCATGTACTGCCAGATGTTTCAAAAACACATTTTACAGCGACTTGGTTTTTAATTTTTTATTTGTTGTGGAAACAAAAAAAACAGGTTTCTTTCTTGCTGAAGCTGTTCATACATGAAGATATAATCGCGAGAATGCAGAAAATAGTTATAGATTTTTTTTGGTAAATAGGTAAAAGGAAATTTTGATTTTTTTTTATTAATAATACACAAGATTTAAAGAAATTGATTAACATTTTGAACTATAACTTGTGTACTGCAATTTTTTTTAAATTTTTCCGCGCAAAAATATAGGCAGACATTTTAAATTACATTTGTATGTGTTGATTTGAAATATATTTCTTATTGTAACTATAATTTTATAAATGTCAACGGTCCATTTTCATTCTCACTTTGATTACCTGTGTTCAATATTTGAAAATTATATTGCATGCAATGATTTCATGTTATTACATTTGGCATTATATTAACTTAATGACAACACACTTTGTGTGATTCTAGCTCAAACGAGCACCTTTTAGTTTCACGGCAATCTCGTTTGAAATGCAGTACTTACTGCGACCAGCATGGGTAGGTATCGGTTGCTGCGTGTTGCATCTCGTATGGCGATGCAGGGAACTTGGGTCTCTTACTTAAGGCCCTCCTTAAGGGCATGGCTCTAAGTTGCATTGGCCATGTCTTCAACCTTAAGTTAAGGAGTTGTGAAATTATTTGTGTCATGCAGCTATCTAAGCATTGTTAAATCGTGCACCTTATTTGTTTCTCTTTCTTTATGTGAATAAGTGAAGTTATTTGCGGAAAGGAAAGAAGAAATTAACTCTGTACAGCATATATGAATCTTATATTTGGAACAGGTTGACTCAATTTCATTTCTTTTATTATTTTGCATTGATGTTTAATGTAGATTGCAGTGAAGCGTCACAGTACAGGTCTAAAATATATTACAAGGTATTGTGCTTAATTGGTAAATTAAATATGTTGTCTGGTACCAACAAATATATTTTGCTGAAGATTGTTTCGATCACGTAGCGATCATTTTCAGAGCTTTCAGCTTCCGCGCCGAAAACAACACAGAACTTTGTTTTCGACCCGGAAGCTGCAAGCTCTGCGGATGTTCGCTACGCGATCGCAACGATCTTTAGCCAAATATATTTTTTTGATACCAGACAACATGTTTAATTTTGCTAGGAGTTAGTGTTGCGGCTTGTGAAACGCGTGCGTGTGTGTGTTGCGCAGGTGCGGGTGGAGGGCGGGCCGGCGGTGACGCGGCTGGAGGCGCGCCTCACGCTGTCCACGGTGGACTACCACGGGCTGCCGCGCTCGTCGGGCGGCGACCCGGTGGCGGCCGAGGCGCTGCCCGTGGCCGCGGGCGTGGACGCGCCGCCCTGCACCGTGGACGACCGCGACGACGGCACCTACACCGTGCGCTTCCGCCCGCCCGCGCCCGGCCGCTACGCCGTCAAGGTGCGTCGCCGCGCGCTTCTTCTCCTCCTCCTCTCACTCCTCCCTTTCCCCCGTATCACTCTTCGCTCTCTCTCTCTCTCTCTCTCTCTCTCTCTCTCTCTCTCTCTCTCTCTCTCTCTCTCTCTCTCTTTCTCTTCCCTCTCCTTCGTCTCTTGTCTTCCTCCCTTCCCTCTCTCTCTTCCTTTCGTCTCACCCTTCACTTCCCCATTTCCTTCTTCTGTTCCCTCTTTTTCTCTTCTTTCTCACATTTCCCTTCCTCTCTTCCCTCTTTCCTTCATTCCTTCCCCTATTCACTCCCTCTTTTCCCCTCTTATGTTTTCCCTCCCTTCTCTATCTGTCTGTCTTTTCGTTTCTCTTACCGTAGATCCTCGACTCTCTTCTCTCGCCCCTCTTCTCTAAGGGTCCTCTCAAGCATAGAAAAAAGTTTTTCCTCTACGATCATAATAATGTTGCCCTTAACTGATAACTTTGGACTCGAAACATCACAAATTGGGAAACGTTAATAGTTTATAAATGTGCACAATTAATGTAATACACGGAGGGGCAGACAGACACAGAGGAGCGGACTGGCACGGAGGGGCGGACAGACACGGAGGAGCCGACAGACACGGAGGGGCGGACAGACACGGAGGGGCGGACAGACACGGAGGAGCAATTCTATAACAAGTATTCAGAATCTCACACAGAAGTCACTTAACAAATATGTTCCTTAAATTAGAATAGTCTTACAAAATAAAAATGCAAGGCTTCTATACAAACAGGAGTTTGCACAATATGTGACTAGTAGCATTCTCTGATACAAACATGTGATTGCTTTTTATCACAAAGCCGACAAACATCTCAAAACAGTAATTTCCAATCATTGACATCAAAAAAAATTTGTCTTAATTAATAATGCAATTCTATTATTTGATGTGGCTCAATAATGAAGAATAACAAAGGATTTCTAAATTTTTTGTAAAAAAAAATGTTAAAATTAGAGGGCGCGGTGAAAAAATATGCACAAATAGAAATATATAAAAATCCACACTACATAATACAAAAAAATCACTAAAAACTACATCTGGATAATTATTTACTTGCAACCATTTCAATTATCTGCTCCCTATTTCTGCATAAGATTCTTATTGAATGTAAAAAACAATAAGAAATAAAGCAAATATTAAAAATGATCACATGTACCAACCTCATAATTAAGTCAAGGCAATGATTCTAATTATCTGGATTTTCATTGTTAAATTATTGAATATTTCCAGGGAGTAAATGTTCGAAAAAAATCAGTTACTTGAAAATTGCGAATAGCAAGATTAATTTTGTTCCAAAAAGTCATTTTAAGTTTAGTACACTTCTTATATGAACACAATTAAAATTATATTTGACCAGCGTTCATTCTCCTTTGTGTACCAGATGCCCCTTTGCACAAATGGAGACCCCTGTCAGAAGGGACAATTAACAAAATATTGACATCTAAATCACTGTTTTTAACAAACAATCCTTCCAAAACTATTCCAACATTATGTACACCAGTTCCTGAAATATTCATTTCCTTTTCTGAATCAAGGCAACACCCACTATTAGTCTTCCTTCATTGTGCCTGAATGCAAGAATTACATTACTGAATGGCAGGAAAAAGATATATTTGTACTAGCATCTTTAGAAGAATAATTTTGTAAATAAAAATATATTGCCCAGAACTATTTACTTTTAAAAAAAATAAGAAATGAAGAGAACAAAAAACATATAATTGTTAAGTTTTTTCCTGAATTTAACAAATTTAATAAAACTGAATAATGTTAAATGAAATGTATGTAATGACAAAATAGTCCAATCTGATTTCTTAAATAAGACATTGATTTAAAATATGAAAATAGCCAAATAAAAAAATATTGTTAATTTGTAAACTGGGCATGTTTGATAAATTTTAGCATTCAACAGAATAGAAAGTTCTGTAGAATCTCCAATAATGAATTTGGCATCTTTACAAATTATTAATACAAAGAAAAAACTGATGAAAATTAACAACCAAATTACTTTAGCGTAGATTAAAAAAGAAAAGTCAACAGAAGAAGCAAAAAAGATTGTACTTGAAACAAATTAATGAAGAGAATTGAATTGAACTTTTTTTTCAAATCTTTTGTTAATATGCAACATGATCATTCACTGTGCCATACCAATTAGATTTTAAAAAAATTGCCTTCTGATTTTTGTCACTTTAATACCAAGATTTAATAAAACAAAGAATTCAACAAAATTTTCATTCATTTATTTAACAAAACACTGCTTAAAGAAAGACTAAGCTTTATCCACAAAAAGAACTCAAACACAAAATTCATAGGTTTGAATTGATGAAAAGAAAAAGCTTTTAAACTATTAGTCATTATAAACAGGGACTATATTACAACATATTTATCTACAGTATTCTCAACATGGTTGTATCACAAGATACAAAACTTTTTATTATTGATCTAAAATTGCTTACTCATTTCCTGTATTTTGTTTTCATTTGCGCTGAAAAACACAGACCTTGGCAAAAACATTAAAAGCATAAAGTTTCATAGAAATGAACATCTTTTCATTACTTATTAAAGTTGTCACTTTCACAACTTTCTCCTGTTTAATGTTCATTCTCCTTTTAATCATTAATACAGTCAATTCAATTGAGAAAAATTCCAGCAAATATTTCCTTTGGGTGTGAGGCTGGATTAAAGAATTTACACATTCACCAAAGATGTTCACTTCTAGTGATATTTAGAACCACTGTATATGACACTATATTTCGTCTGCCTTTTATTGTAAAACCATGGTGTCAACATATTTAATAATATGGAGTAAATTGGTATTGGCAACTCCATTACAAATAACATTAGTGAAGGAATCCCACTCTCAGGCAGCATGTTATTCTAGACATTTTTTGTGACAAAAATAAACTGCTAAGAATGTAACTTTTGAAGTTAAAACCACCAAAATTTATGAAGGTCCTAAACCTTTTCAAAATGTAATATTTGAATAATGTATCTTTCATAATTATTTAAATATTAGCAACTAGGACATTACGTTTGCAAGATTGCAGTGACCAGGAAACATGTTCAACATGAATCTTAGTTCAACAATTTTACACCAATAAGCACAGCTGTTGAAGTCACAATGAAGTAACACATATATAGAATTCAAAAAAAGCGTTGCAGAAAATATGTAAATAATAACAAATACAAGGCCTACATTGTAGGTAAAAGCAGTTCTTTGAAGTTGTAAATTTATGAATCTTCACTGCAGCATTGGGGCGCTTTTTATATTAGAAAACTTAAATCGATGCGACACTGACTTATATACATCATAACTGAACCACTTTCACATGACAATAGAAAGATTAAAAATAAACAAAATGCCTGCTTCTGTAGGTTCTTGAGATCCAACCACTCACAATACCTATACTTCTTAATGCAGATCGTGACCCCAAACCCACAACAATAATGTGAAAACTGCAGTAGCAGCCACTCCACTTGGTCGTTTAGCTGAGTCATGAGAGTCAATATTGCCGATACTAAGATCCATTTGAAAAGTCCAGAACTTGCCACAAAGCTCGACTTTTCTCAAGAGTCTTGTGGCTATTATGTGACCATCACCATCAATAGCCACCAACCACCATATCTGCACGACCTGCTTCACATAAGTAACTAGTGCAAAATCATTTGCATGTAAATATTCATCTTAATTCAACAAATTATAACGTACATAAGAACAAAAATGGCGTTCACACTAAAAGGTCTTAAGATCATTTTGTTAATTTTACAGGAGAGCATTTTAAAAGATTGGAAAGTGATATACTCAAATTAAATTAAGTCATATTTTTTTTTATTTACTGTGCTCTACTAATGGTTAAAACAAATAGTTCATCATTTTCCTATATCTGACCGTGTTCATAGCTGCAGTAAATTAATGATGCAATTTAACGAAATAAATTGGTTTATTCTCAAACAGAACTTAGTGTTTTCTAAACTATTTAATTTTGTTTTTCAGTTCATTTTTGTACTTTCAGGTTTCTGAAATGCAATCCCACTATATGGACACCCAACACTGAGACAAAAAAGGACATCAGCAAATATAATTTCAAAGATTTTTAATGCATTTAATTTTTTTCAGTAGAAGTAAAAAACATTACGCATCTTTATGAATGTGTAAATCCAAAATAATCCAGAATAAACTTCTTTCATTATTAAAGTTTTTCACAACTCACCGTTTCCTTCATGATATATTTCCTTCCATGGAGTTCTCCTTTTGCAGATGAAAACTTGAATTTACGTGAGTCAGCTACTACAATTTCTCCACCAGGGACCAAACAGTTACAGATGAGATCAAATTAAAAACAACCGTTTCTGGGCTTCCTTTTTTTCAAACCTGCAGGGATAATAATGAGTGGAAATTAAATAAAAATTGTTGACAAGCTATAATGGATACATAACCATTTCTATTCTTTACAGAAAACTTTTTTCTATCCGTATTTTGGATGAAGGATTCGAAAAATATATGCAATTAAATTTATTTAAAAAAGAAACAGAGAAAATGACACCAAAACTGAAAAGTTTGCAAAAGCAACCTTTGAATGCATCAGTCACTAACAGACCATTTTTTTTCGTCCCTTAACACAATATTCAATTACATCTCTTTCCCCCCCCCCCCCCTCTCTCACCAACACACGCTTTCTGCACTCTCCCAGGCGAGGATACCCACCCTCCCTCTCTGACTTGCCCTCTCACTCTCCCTCCCTCACCTATTCTTTCTCCCTCGCTTTCCCCCTTCATCTCTCTGACTCGCTCTCACCCTCCCGTCCCTCTCTCACACACCACCCCTCTTCCTACTCCAATTTCTCTCTCCCTCTCCAAACTTCTCTCAATCACAACCTCTCCCTCCCTCTTTGTCTCTCTTTCTCCCTCCGTCCCCCCTCTCCGACTCTCACTTTCCCTTTCCTCTCCAACTCGTTTTTCCTCACTCTCCCGAATCCGCTCTTCACCTTCCTCGTCGATCCCTCTCTCTCTCTCACCCTGGCCTCCCTGCTCCGACTCCTCTGCTTTCACCTCCCACTCTCTCCGACGCTCTCTCACCCTCCCACCCTCTAACCCCTCCCTCCCTATCACTCACTCTCCCTTTCTGACTCTTCTTCTTTATCCTCCATCCCGCGCCGAAATCGTCCTCTCCCGCTCCCTCACTCTCGACAGCTGTTCACCCTCCCTGCCTCTCCAACTCTCTCGCTGAACTCCCCTTCTGACTCACTCGTCTCCCTTCCACCACTCTCCGACTCTCTCCCTTCTCCCCTCTGACTCCTTCCTCCCGCACCGACTTTCTCTCCTTCCCTCTCCGACTCTCCTCCTTCCCTCTCCGACTCTTTCCCTCCACTCCGCATTTTTTTTTTTTTTGAAAGTCAAGTTTTTACATTTTTTAAATGAATAAGTTTGGGCATAATTTTTGAGGAAAAACTAGAGGCATTTCCAAAAAACAATTTGAAAAATTTGTAAAACAATTTTCAATTTTAAACTATTATTTTCCCAGAACCGCGTTTCAATTTTTTTCTTTTAATTTTTTTCATGTAGTTAGCAAAGAAAGTTAGGCTGGTTCCTTTTTCGGCGTACATTCGAAATTGGGAAAATAATTCCCAAATGTAAATTCGACCATCTAAATAAAGCGGATGTGCACGACAAGCGCTTCTTTAACTTTGCTGAATTGGACATGCTTAAGGCATTACTGAGGAGTAAGTAAGCATAGAATTTTGCAATATTTAATATTGATGGAACCAGTTTTCTTGTTGATGGACAAAAATATGTGCAATTGTAGCTAGTTTCTTTAAATTGTATCGCGGCATAGGGTAGGAAAAACAAGGGACGCTTAAAAGAAAGGCGTAAGTTTCATATTCTCGAACTCTCTCAATTTTCCGAAAATTAGCAAAAGTTAGATAATGCAAGAAAGTACGTGAGGTCGTGGAATCACAGTTTCCTGAAGTTACACAATTTTCTGGCCAATGACAGAATTTGGCGTCATAAGAAATTCATAAGATGCCAAGAATTAGGATATAATTATCCCCTCATGATCATAAGTATTCATAAGGTTAAAAGGGCATCCGTGAGCAGTATAGCGAAAGCATGGACTCATTTCCAATATTTGGACTTCAAAAGATGGTGTCCTGCTCTTTACAAAAGGGCGTGTCTTTCAGTTTCAAGCAATCGGTAAAACACCTTAAGGTTACTTTTACATCCTTCCGAACGGATGTCGTTTTGAAGGTACCTACTCGCTCATCTGGCCAAGTGATGAGAGAATAAATTCATTAATTGGATTCTCAGTTAGAGAGCTTCTATGTTCACAAAAATCAATTCGAAACCAACATTTCTGCAGAAACCGGGCTTGTTCATTTAGAATTAAAACGCCAATCAGTACCAACAAAGAGTAAGATTTTGTCTAAGGTGGGGTCATAGGGCTTCCGCGGCCGGAGTCAATGCATTCTTGGCTATTTTCCGATGCAATTATAGCTCTGGAAGAATTCCACAGCAAGATGGCCGAAACGTCAGTACAAAGTGACTGAGGACGCGCGCTCATCCCGGAGAGCCAAGAATGCAAGATGTTCGTCGTACATTCTACGAAAGTGTATTGATTTCATGTGTATGTGTATGCACTGGAGGTTGGTCGTGGATGAGCGAGTGAACGGGCGGGCCCTAACCTGAAGAAGACAGCTTGCCGGTCCGCGTCGAAGACGGAAGACGCAGCTGATGGCCGGTTGTCGGCGACGAGCACCGTGGCCGTTAAGCCGGCGTCACGCCACGTCCGTGGGCTCCTGGAAGGCGGGTGCGAGAATGCGCGCCACCGGTGTCGCCCTGCACCGTCATCTCGGTGACCTCGCGCGTCCGCCAGTGACGACGACGAGGCCGGGCGGCACGACACGGCGATGCCCGTCACGAGCGCCCCGCCAGGCCCTCGTTCCTTCCGGATGTGGCCGCACGAAAACTGCAGCCCGGCCTGCAGCACCTTGCGGCGCCGCACGCGCTCTCACCCACGCGCTCGCCTCGCCCGTGCACTGGCGCGCCACAACCGGCTGAACTAACCCGGCGTTACATCCTTGTAAGTCATGTCATGCATCGGCGTGAATCGCCCGCTGGATGGTGAGAAATCCGACGGCCGATACACGTCGGCTTAACTGGGTTCCCCCGCATCTCGTCGCGAAGAGCACCCCCCGCCCAAAACAAGCGTCTAACTCCCGACGAAGTGTGGTAGGTAGATGGGTGATGCATTGACGGCAATAGTGAGGATGGGGCATGAAGAGGAGCAAATATCGCGCGCGAGGTCCGTGGCCCGTTGGTTGCGTATGCTCCGGATTGCCTGGCGTGGTGATCGGAGCAACCACGGCCACTACGCGGATCACAGCAGCCGGCCGCTAGCATTCTCCCAGTATGAGGCGAATTTCACCTCTCTGTGTGCGGTGGAAAATCCTGCCAAATGGATTCGAACTCCTAGGACCTCCCAGTTACACACTGCCTTGTACAGTTGTTTGCTTGATCACCTCTGCCGGAGGCGCAGAGTGTGCTCGGCCAACCAGGCGAACATCCCGGACACTTGAGGCCTACACTCCGATTACAAGGCTTACATTATGTGCAAGCGATCACAGCTGGCGACCGGTTATCCAACGGGGAATAATCGAAATATTTATTTGAATCTTCCGCATTGATATTCGCCATCAGTCTTATCAAAATTAATTCCCTGCGTTTAACTACAAGATATACTCTTAAATGTAACTTTATCATTGAGCTCGTTTTGGAAGTTGTTGGCAAGTAAAACTAGGTCTTTAAGTTCCGATAAGTTTGCTCCGAGGGCAAATGTTGTCACACATCATTGAACAAAACTCACCGATCCGAAACGTGTTACATTATGATATACAAATATTTAGTCGAAAGTGGAATGTGAATGAATCCTATTCTGTAGGGGAAATCATTAATATGAGCTTTACAAATTGATAATTTATATTGTAAAAATTGTAGGTTAATTATGAAACATTATATAGTATAGTTCAAAGTTCAGAGAATGACGGCGTTCGCTGATATTAATCTTACAACCGGGGATCCTTCAACTAGACCGTTTCCGGATTCTCCCCATGGTTTTATCCGTCCATGTGGATCCAGATCAGGTCTCCTGAATGCGCGGTGAAAAAAATTCAGTAAGCGGCATCTGAGTACTGGAGAGGAAGGAATGGATTAGGTTGATGGACGCCGGCTTATGCCACTAGACTGAAGAGAGTGCAGATAATTAAAACCCGAGGCGAATTAGAAAAAAACATTCCGATATTACCACCTTCCGTTCGTTCCAAGCTTGTTTTGAAGAAATGCATTTTTGATAGCCCCAAAGTATCATCCATGTGAGAATGCCAGTCCAAGGCATACCGAACCAATATTACGAATATTTTGGCACTTATTGGGACGTATTTCTAAATTAATAGAGATGAGTTTATAAAAAAAGTCACATGTAGGGTTTTACACGAATATACATTTATTGAAATTGTCCTTTATAACCATAAAAATGCACTTATTTATGTACCTTCAAAAAATTTACAAGGTTCTAGCCAATTTATTAATGGAACGGCACTTGTACATAACTTGTGTGCATTGATCGCTAGTTAACTATTTTTCATTCGTCCATAACACGGGGTAAAAGTACTCAATTCGTTCCGACACGCTTCTGCCGTCAGAAGTAGTCGTGTGGCCTTTCTCCGAAGATGTTTGGGTTCCTTCGCTTAGAACGTACTCTGCTGACAAGTCATGTCTTCCGTTTCTGCCATACGACTTTTGCCGAGCGCGTCCCTACTCATTCGGAAGACCGCCCTACTTCGCCTACCGCGCGATCTCAGGCAACCAAGGCACCACCCTGATGCGCGAGTTGCCGGTGCTCGACGACGCTAGACGGTGCCGCGCGCGTCCCAGCCACCCCACGGGCTGCAGGGAATCGTCTTGCCCCGCGCACCCCGCGCCGCCGTACGTCGCCACCGCGATTTTTGTGCTCCGGACACGTCCAAAAAGAGCGGCAGAGTCGCGCACACCGGCCCGCTCCGCAACCGACACCTGCGCACAGTAGCGGCTCCTCTCCACCTGTCGCTTGCCTGTCAGGTCTATCTGCATGCCTGTCTATCCCATCCTTTCTGTCTATCGACATGCCTGTCGCCAGTCTATTGCATGCCTGTTCGTCGTGTCTAGACTGCCTGTACGTCTGTCTGCATGCCTTTCGTCTATTTGCCTGCATGTCATTCGCCTTCTGTCCAACTTACTGGGTCTGCTCTGCCAACTTATGGAATGTCTCGCCCCTCTCGTAGTCATTCTCGGTGTCCGCCCCCTTCCCCCTGTCGGTCCCCTCCGTGTCGTCCCCTCCGTGTCTCGCTCTCCTGTCTGTCGTCCTCCGGTCTGCCGCCTCCTGTCGTCCGTCCTCCGCGTCGTCGCCCCTCCGTGTCCTGTCCGCTCCTCGTCTGTCGCCTCCTGTCGTCGTCTCCGTGGTCTCTGTCCGCTCTCCGTGTCGTCGCCTACCGTGTCTGTCCGCTCTCGGTCTCCGTCCGCCCCTCCGTGTCTGGCCGCTCCTCCGTGCTTGTCCGCCCCTCCGGTGTCTGTCCGC